TGTTTAGTCGAATATTAAGGAGAAATGTGATGTTCTGAAATATTCCTTGTGAAGCAGTTTGATGTTTTGCTTCATAATGGGATTCATAGTTCTTTCATGTCTTGAGTAGAATATGCAAAACAATCAGATGGAAAAGAATTAAAGAAACTGAAAAAGAAAGTTAAATTTTAATTTTAGAATGAACAAAACATTTCAGGCCAAATATTTCATAAAGGATTTTTTTTTTTTAGTGCAAAATTAATATTTTTCACTTTTGGTTAATTCATAGTTTTTCAAATTAAACTAGAAATATCCCTCCTGTGCAGGACTCCACCATGAAGTTTCTGGTCTCCCTTTTCTGGGCCGTTCATTATTTCATATGTGCACGTCAGGATGAGGGAACTGGGCTGGCTCAGTGCTGGTAAAATTGCTGTCATCAGAAGACATTTAACAACCTGTGCTGCTTCTGAACAAATGCAGCCTCTCTTTAAAGTCCTTCAGAGAAGGTGGAAGCTTTGAAGTGGTTAAACCTGACCCTGTCTTTCCCCCTCTTGGCTTTGCTCTGGTATCAATAGATGAAAGCAGTCAATGCCTACGTGAGTGTTGGTGAGCATCTCCAGAGATGGCTGCATGCCATATCTTGGAGCTCACATCAACCACTGGCTGGGGTGGAGGAAGATGTTCAAGTCACCTTCACCTGCAGCCACATTTAACAATCCTCAGCCAAGGGGAAAATGCAATTAAAATAAAATAACCAGGGTGGATGAAGCCCCATGCAAGAGCGGTGCGGTATCCACTGATATATGTGAAGAGCAACTCTTGGCTTTAATGGATATAGATCAAGCCACCACCTCCCTAGCCTACTGTCATCTTATAAGAAGATCTGTTACCTATTAATTTGAAAGATGTTTGCCCCATCCTATGCAGCCCTATGTTCTTGTCAGGTCTGTAGATGGCCAAACTCCCTTTTTATTCACTGGGAATTTTTCCTGTTGGACTTGACTTGCAAAAGGTCATCTAATGTCTCATATACTCCTTTTCGTTGAGTTTAATTTCGATTTCCATTTCAGGTCAGCACTGGGTTCCTGATTGATTCTAATTATTCTTTATAAGTCTGGAACTAGAGCTAGGCAGAAAATTAGGAGACATGTAATTTACTGCTATTTCAGTTCAACCCCTCTGTTTTCATGCCAAGGTAGCAATTCTTAAAAATTAAGAGCAATGAAAATCCCTTAGATAAAGAATTACAGAGCTGGAATAAGCTGTGCCTGTTGGGCATGTCCATACTGATGCTAGTCCATATTCATCCCTCATCCTTGCAGCATGAGCAAAGGCTTTTGCTCAGTTTTTAGGAGAGCTTTGAGGCTGAGCTCTTTTAGGATGGGGTCTAGCACTCTCCTGAAATACTTTCAGAGCTAATTTTGTGTGGAGTGGACTGTGGTGGTCCAGACACCACTATGGCCTGTTCTCAAAGCAGAGAAAAATAACATTTGCAGGGCTCATTTCAGATTACAGACAGAATTTGTAACTTTTGGGTGCCTTCCCCACAAATTGGCCTTGAGATGTTAAATAGTAATGAGGGAGATCTAAGAACTGCAGGGGCTTTCTCAAAACCAGGAGTTATTTTAGTATTACAGGAGCAACCGTTACGATACCTTAGAGAATGGATATTTTTACTATTTCCAGAATACCAAAAGGAATCAGCTTTTAAAGCAGCTGCTTTTCCTCGCACTTCTTTGTTGCATATAAGGAGTTTACAAATTTATAAAGCAGCATCTCTGAGTGACATAAATATCCCAGAGAATCAGGCCAGTTCCAAATAGCACAGTGTAGCTGCCCTGAGAGTGTTTGGACAACATGAGCTCATGGTGACATAGGACCATATCAGACAGATATTGGATGGAGAGCCACCAGACTTGGAAGGGGGATTTAGTTGACCTTCCTGAGACATCTCCCTCATTCCTACAATCAATAGAGACTCAGACCACAAGCAGGGCACCTGCCTTCTCTTTCGTACTTTGCATTACTAAATTCAATGTGTCTGGCACTCAGATATGGTGATCCAGGCTGTGAAGTTGCTAGCACATGCCTGCCTACATTTTTGGCCCAGGGTAATTAGTACTTTTCCAAGTGATTCTTGAGCTGAGTTCAGGAGCTGGCAAGTTCCAAGGGCAGTTCCCAACGGGCTGTCTTCCCTCACTGAAAAGGATTTAGAATAGAATCAGAGTGGTTTGCATTGGAAAGGAGCTTTCAAGGTCACCTAGTCCAACCCCCCTGCAATAAGCAGGGGCATCTTCAACCAGATCAGGTTGCCCAGAGCCCCATCCAGCCTGACCTTGAATGTTTCCAGCGATGGGGCATCTACCACCTCTCTGGGCAACCCGTTACTTCCAGATGTGCACTGAATCCGTGTGACAAACCTGGTTTATACAACTTTTTTGTCAACACTGTAAAATACTTCAAGATCAATAGCCTTCTATCCTCCACTTCCAGAGAAGATTGTGGCCAAGCTATTTCAGAGCTGGAGGGCATAGTGCATCAGCATCCATCCACCTAAGAATGGCTCTTGGTCTATCCTTTGCCTGCAAAGCCACGCTCATCTTGGGAGACACAGGGTAGTCAAGGGTCCTGTCACCCAGCACAGTGGAGCTGAGTACTCACAGAATTGTTACATCTGCATTAAGAGACCAGCAAAGCAAGGATGGAGAAGAGGAGAGGAATTTGTGCTCATTTTTAACGGTCAGATGAGATTGATTGTTGTATTAACAGCGCAGCTTTATTGAATGATCTCTTGCTTTAGCTTTTCAGCAGCCAGCCCATGGGAGTGCAGAAATGCATTCCCTGCCAGCCCACAGATAACATGAGGCTTTTTTTCTCCCTTTTCTCCATCTCATGTGTCTGCCTTGTCTACAGAGATCACAGGCTTTTCAGGGAGCAGCCCATCTCTTTCTGTACATTTGCATAATGCGGTGCATAATGAAGTTGCCAGGCACTATGGTAACAAATACAATCATGCTGCTTCAAAGCTCACCTCCATATAAGCCAGCATTTTATGAGCAGCGGAGTGAATAAATCCACATTTGTGTTCCATCTTTAAAGTCCAGCCACTGTGTGCACAGTCCTACAGCCTCCATCCTTTGTCTCTGGTTCTGTAGATGCAAACTGTGCTTAGGTTTACTGACTGACCTGCTGGTCCATGTGGGCTGGTTGTCCACATGGCATTAAAGTGAATGAGAAAATGAATTTTACCTGGCTTTCCCTTAGCTGAAGAGCACAGTTTGGATGTTCCTCCTCTGCCCACTTATAATTTTGAGGAAAGGTGTTGTGATTTTCACCTTTGAGATTTCTACCTCGGCCACAAATACTATAGAAAATAGCTAACGGGTTCAGGAGTTGCTAGGAAATAGTCTGAGTGGCAGGTAAACATGATCAGAAAGAATTAGTGCATTATTTTATTTCCCTTTGGAAAACCGTTGAAAATAGATAATCTACTTTGGAACAAAAGTGGATCCTAGGAAAAAGCCCCATATTGTCTGAGAAGTTTAGGATGAACTTTGAGTTTGTCAGTAATGTCTTCACATCTTTAATCGAGTTCTTTAAAGATCTTTCCTCTTCCTTTCTCTCAGCTCTTCATGCGGGAGGGATATTTTAACAATGGACTGAAGGGAAATATCTGTGGACAAATGGGTGACATTCACTGAACAGGGAAGAAGGGGACACAGATGAGCCCCTTTACGTATTGCTCATTCAGTGCAACAGTTTCATGAAGAATAGAATCATTCAAACAGTCAGTACCCCTGGCCTTTGGCAGTATTATCCAAACACAAGAAGGGCTGAATAGTAAAAGAGGGGGAAGGAAATTAAGAAATACCGGGGAAATAAAAAGTAGATGTAGGTAGAATCAACACTGAGAAAGGATGGAGAGTTGGAGATGGGATCTGGCTCATAGATTAAGATACCTACATTTAGGGGTGTATGCATGAGTGTCTTCATGTGTGCTAGATGTTTGTATTCCCATCAGTGGATATATAGTCAGTTAACAGAGCCCAAAGAGGCATTAAGCTCATCCTAAAGCAGTCACCCATCTGACATAGGGAAAGGCTCTCCAAGCTCCACTGATTCTGTTGGCCAGTCTGTATTGACTACCACAAGGACACAGTCACCCTGCAGATGTGGTGAGACCTTAACAAAGGTCTCTTAGGAGGAGAAACGCACCCACGAGACTGTTGCAACCAGTAGTTATCCTGGAAGAAAAAGGTTTTTTCTGTCTTTGCAGTGGGATTATTTGAATGGGAAATGTAGTACTGGGTGGGCAGGGAACCGCACTGATCCTGCATGTAGAGGGATCATTTATTACTGGTTCCTGAGGACAACAGATGAACTTCTGCAGCCTAGCCTCCCTGTCTAAGCAGGTCCTCTGATGACCAATGAAGTGTGCATGTCCATACTGAAGCTTTCCTGAACCTTTGGACTCAGTCCAACTGCTTATCTTCATAAAAGTAAAAGCTGGCTATCTCCATGAACATTTGTCGAATTTGATTGAAGCTCATTAAGATGTTCAGAGCTATTGTGGGAAGGGATTGATTGCCAGTACCCTCACACAGAGTTCATTTCCCTAATAAACCAGGCTGAAAACAAGTAACACAACCCAAAGGTGGTTGACTGGAACAGTGCAGGAGGGACAGGGTCGGCAACTTAGAGGTCCCATTGCCTCAGAGGTCCTGAAACTAAGACAAGGGCTTTGATTTCCATGGAAAATTTACCCCTTTGTGGAGGGCTTGTATCACCACCGTTAGGATAGCTCCTGGCTTTTATTGGAGTATTAAAGATCTAAACACTGTCTGGGACTATGAGCACAACTCCTTTAAGGTAGCAACAGTCTTGGGGTTTCTCCATCCCCATTCTCAGATCAATGGCAATTTTTAGAGAGACCTTGTTGAGCAGTGGGGGATTCCATTTCCACATTAACACTGCTCTCCTGTTGGTTTCATTCCTGAACCCTTTTCTTCTTTGATCTTCAGAAACGAGTTCAGGCCCTGGGTAGACATCAAGCCCGTGAAGGCTATAAAAGCAAAGGCCCAGTACAAGCCGCCAGAGGAGAAAATGACCCATGAAACCAGTTACAGCGCTCAATTCAAGGGGGAAACCAGTAAGCCTGCTCCAGCCGATAACAAATTCCTGGAGCGCAGAAGGATACGCACTCTCTACAGCGAACCCTACAAAGAACCACCAAAGGTGAGAAACGTGGCAGAAGGGACCCAGGGCCATCACTGCTCCTGGTGGGACATGTCCAACACAGTAAGGCTGGGCTAAACACTTCTTGCTGTCATTCCCCCTATGTGGCATCTTCATTTCCAACCAGTGGGTGCATCTGGGGATCCACCTTGGAGATGGTGGTAGATGAAAAACTGAATATGATTTGGCAATGTGTGCTCACAGCCCAGAACCCACCCATGCCCTGGGCTGCAGCCAGAGCAGGGGGGGCAGCAGGGCCAGGGAGGGGATTCTCCCCCTCTGCTCCGCTCTGGGGAGACCCCCCTGCAGTGCTGGGGCCAGCTCGGGGGCCTCCCAACAGCAGAAGGACACGGAGCTGCTCGAGCGGGGCCAGAGGAGGCCACGAAGATGCTGGGGGGGCTGGAGCAGCTCCCCTGGGAGGCCGGGCTGAGAGAGTTGGGGGGGTTCAGCCTGGAGAAGAGAAGGCTCCGGGGAGACCTTCAAGCGGCCTCCCAGGGCTTAAAGGGGGGACAGGAAAGGTGGGGAGGGACTCTGGGTCAGAGGGTGGGGGTGGGACGAGGGCTCATTGTTTTAAACTGAGAGAAGGGAGATTTAGGTGAGATCTAAGGCAGAAATTGTTCCCTGTGCAGGGGGTGAGGTGCTGGCCCAGGGTGCCCAGAGCAGCTGTGGCTGCCCCCTCCCTGGAAGGGTTCAAGGGCAGGTTGGACGGGGCTGGGAGCACCCTGGGCTGGGGGAAGGGGGCCCTGCCCGGGGCAGGGGGTGGCACTGGGTGGGCTTTAAGGTCCCTTGCCACCCAAATCGTTCTATGGGCTCTAGTACAGATTGATGCACTTTGGAGACAATAATGCCCTACATGAAACTGTAAAGAAGTGAGAGTAGGGCCCAGATGAAGAGGTTTTTGCATTGTCATTTCCCAGGTGATTATCTAGACAGCTTTCTCTTTCTCCTTCCAAAACTGTAGGCACCCCACATTACACTTCATCCCCAAAACAACACGGTAACAGCCAGATCTTCATCTACAATTAATTCAGATCACTCCACAGATTTTGACAGTAAGCACTTTCAGCTTTGATCAGATTGAGAAAAAGTGTCAAGAAGGGCCTGGGCTGAAATTTCTTCCAGCCTTATTTTCTAGGAGTAGTGGAGGATTTGCATATAAAAGGAGTTAGTCTGTCCTAAACCTAGGACCATTAGCCCTTCCCAAAGTTTATAAGTGCTTAGATTTTTGAGGTCTCAGAGGGATGGCAGGGCCAGCATGAAGGAGCTAAAGGCTTCTGTTCCTCTTTCATTTTGAAACTGTCCTCCCTATTTTGGGGGCTGTAGAAACAGGAGGATGCCAGAAACTTTTGTGGACTTTTCTCAGGTGCCAACTGGTGTCCTGCACCCCAGCTATCCCCAAGTAATTTTCTTCTATTACGGGACAAACAGACTGAGGAGTCATGTCCTGCAAGAAAGGTGGGGATTTATATCAGCCTCTTTGTCCTGAGCATCATTTCACTGCTTCAAATTCAGAGAGAGACAATTCCCTGTGGGCTGGCAAAGCCCCTCCTGAAGTCAGAGAAAGATGGAGGAATTGATAAAATGACTTATAATATTCCCTTTCCTATTTACCCTACTGTGTCCTGATCTGGATACAATGGTCTCTGCTGGCTTCAGGGGCAATGTGACTTCAGGGCATCAGCACCATGAAAGGAGTTGGCCATTTGAAACTCAGCATGCCCCCAGCTGCTCTCCTCCCTTTGTGGCAGGGCATAGCTGAGTAGATAAGTAACGTTCATGCCATTTCTGATCTAAATCCTGTTTTCCGCCTGTCCTTGTGTCTCTCTTTCTCTCTGTCTCCATCTCTGTGTTGTCGTTTTGCATGTCGCCCTCCATGCAGGTGGAAAAGCCTAGCGTAAAGCCTTCCAAACCAAAAAAGACCACAACAAGCCATAAACCCCTGAAAAAGGCCAAAGACAAGCAGATTGCATCTGGCCGGGCTGCCAAGAAAAAGAGCGCCGAGACCTCCAACACAGCAAAGCCAGAGGACAAGGAGAAAAGTAAAGAGATGAACAATAAACTGGCTGAGGCAAAAGAGTAAATGTCACTGCACTTTCCTTTCTTTCTTGTCTTTTTTTTTTCCTTTTCTTTATTTCTTTCTTTCTTCCTTCCTTCCTTCCTTCCTTCCTTCCTTTCTTTCTTTCTTCCCTTTTTTTTTTTTCCTTTGATTAAATAAAGGCCACAAAATTAATTAGAGGCTTCTAATCTGCTTTTTGTTCTGATTGTATTAGAAGCTTTTCTGTTTTATTTCCAAGGAGGATTAGGGAATCCTTGTTTCTGAGGTCAGGTTGTTCTGCTTTGCCTGCACAACACGGCTCTGCACAGAGTGAGGGATGTGGGAATGCACAAGCGGGGTCATAGGAGATGAAGGTGATGGATCAACCATGATTGACTCCAACAGCCTGACCCTTTCCTCAGGCTTGGTCCTTCAACACTTTGATGGTGTGGAATGCCTGTTGAGCCATGGAGGGGCTGTACTCTCATCCCATGAGGCCCTTCTGGGGTTGGCCATTGTTTGGTTGTCTCCCACTGGTGTCAGCAGGTGAAAGGTTTTGGAGGCAGAGAGGATCAGAGGTTCATTCACGGTGCCATGGATCTGCTGTAAATCCACTAGAATCAGTGGTGTGGCCAAGAGTGATTTCCCCTGGTGACACTGGTGGGACTTTTGCTCCAAGAAGCAACAGAGAAGGAGACCCCGTACAAATAAAGGGCCAAATATTTCCCCAGGGTAGCTGGTGGATAGTTCTAGCTGCATCAGGGCAGCTTCACCCATCAACACCACTCAAAAGACTTGATTTAAAAGAAAAAAAAAAGGAGTGAGGGAGGGCACAGAGAGCAGTGAAGACTTCCCAAGCATGTGGCAGGTCAGACTAGGTTATCAGCAGGCTGTTCTTCCCTATTGTTTTCCCTAGGTTATGGATCTTTTTAGTTATTCCTGGTTTGTTTTGAATCTTGGTCTGCTTTCTTCACTTCTGGGGTGCCAGTAGACAGAGCTAGATTTCAGAAAGAGGTTTAGTTTGCAGATGTGGCCTTCCAAGGAGTAAAAAGAAATGTCACCAAGGTTGTCTAGAGCTGTCAGTCCCCACTGTTCTGACTCTACCAGCTGTTGGAGTTCATGTTGGCTCATAAGCATCCTCAGAGGGCCATAAACCAGTTGCTGGGATCCGCAGACTCCCTCCAGGCAAAATCTCAGAGTTTCAATCTTATTTACTGTGCTCTTACTCTAGGAAATCCCCATGCCCAGCAAGACCAGTTTGGAAGCTGTAAATTCAGCGGGACCATTTGTCAGCAAGTATGAACTAGCCCAACAGATTGGGGATGCATACCCCAAAATTTGGGTCGCTGAGTCAATGAGATCTGGGAGAGGTACAATCCAAATCCAAATTTACATGCCTAACTCCTGGATTTGGTCCTAAATATGTAAGGATTAATCTTGATCCCACCAAACCGAGCTGTTAAACGCTCCTGTAGCGGAGTAGCTGCAAGTCAAGATGCAGGGTTCTTTAATTTTGCAGCTCAATATTTCTATCCTAACGTGCAGTCCAGCTTGAAACTTTCAGAGAACAGACAATTGGGAAGAACGAAGAGATGGGAAGTAGGGTAGGGAGGTGGTATAAGAGGAGAGTATCAGAACTGTTGATGTAAAGGTGTTCGAATGAGGAGAGTCTTGCTGCTAGGATATTTTAGAGATGTGAAACTATCTAACAGAAAAAGGGATGGGCTGGGAGGGCGAGAAGTCCTGGTTTTGGGATCTCACCCCATTAGAATTGGGTCTTTTGGAAACATAAATGAGTGGTGGGCTACAAGGCTGAGAGAAAGTTTCCAAAGAGGAAGAAAGCTCTGTGGTATACAGACAGTGACATTTGCTGGCCTTAGTAATGAATAAATGCCAAGTTCAGTGTATTGTGTGATGTGTCCTGTTTGCCTTGCGCTAACAGCCTAAACCTTTGAGTATCAGTAAGTGTAGTGTTCTGAATTCAGTGGTGTATTTCCAAGCTTAGCTGTGTTAGAACTGTGTGCTATGAGCTAGTCAGGTTGTGTATGTGGAAAATATATATTCATATATAGAAATATATATATTTAAACCTCCGCTGTTTAGGAGGAAACCAGGGAAATCCTCCAGGAAGTAAAACTGTGGAAATCTTTGCGAATGTAGTGCATTTTTTGATGTGCATGCTCCATGGAGACGCTGACCTGTCCATATTGACCATTGCTTTCCTGAGTGCTCAGAAGCCTTTGCAGCACTGCTCAAGTGCAAAGCTCAGCTCTGTCTCCAGAGCAGCTTGGCGAAAAGCTTGTGTTCAGCTGGTTGGAGAGGAGTGCTGCTCGCAGCTCTTCCCACCCCGTCGCACAAGGGACAACTGGCCAGAGAAACCCGAGTTTCCAAGACTTGGTGTGATTCCTTGGCATTTAGATGCTTCATGCATCTTCACACTCCTCAGTAACGTCCTTTCCTATCGCAGGATGTAGCAACAGCCGTGAAGATGATGTGTGACAGCAGGCAGAACATGTCAGGAAGGCACGTAGATAGTTACCAATAGCCCAACACACCGATCTCACTGTACATAGGGAAAGACCATGCCAAACAATTCTCCCTATTATTTTTTGGCCCTAAGTTTCACATTGAAAGAGACACCACACTTGCCACCATTTCACCTTGAATTCAATGGGAATTTAGCCTTTGACAAAGGGTGCCAAAATTTTGCCCAAGGAACATCACTAAGATGCTCAGACCATGGTCTAAGTATCTCCATGATTCTGGATCAACTGATCACCATCCAGGGCTTCAGGATTGCTTCTTCTCAGTGAAGAGCATCCATCTTTTGGATGAAACATGCACAGTGTTTGGATGAAACATGTTTGGATGAAACATGCGCAGTGAGTGGCCAGAAAATGGCCTTATGTTCCCTTAATACATGAAGATTTTGGTGGCATCTAACTACAAAGCTAGGTATGAGGGGCTAGCCAGTGGTCTAAACTCCCTTTCTAGTGAAGGAACTTTCCAAGGGCCATTGAGCTACCTATTTTGGACACCTGTCTTTGGGTGGGATGAATGATCCTTGGAAGGTTTCAATCTTTGCAGAAAGAGCTTGGGAGACTGGTATGACCTGGGGACCTCCCTCTCAGACAGCGACAAAATAGGCATATAAATCCTGGCCTTTGCTCCATGTGCATCAGGTCCTCAGCATACATCCAAGCATGCAATTTAGCATTGCATTGAATGCCAGGAACTGCAGCAGAGTCATGGCTCAGGGTGAAATCCTGCATTGCTCTACCTACCACAGACTTTATGCCCATCCAACCCACTCAGGTTTATCAGAAAGGAGACCAAACCTCTGCCGTTTCAAGTTCACTTTGGACTCTGATCTTGTCAATCCCACTGGGAAAGAGTGCTCTGCTTTTCTGTGTTTCGAGCTACCACAATGCTGATTCTGTTTCACTGCCAATTTGTAGTATGTTTTGCTTTCCTTGTTAAAAAAAAAAAAAAAAAAAAAAAAAAGAAATGTTTTGCTTTTTACCCTGTGAAATTTCCTATGCTGTCTATTGCTTGCTTTCTCATTTTCACTGTATTGTACTGTTACTCCTTTCTGCAAAATGGTGCTAATTGCTGACTGAGCTCCTGTTTTCTGACTGCTTTGCACACCGATCACCTGCTTCTTCATTTGCAATGCGTCCGGTGTAAAAACATGGCTCCCATGAATTCCACAAACTCTTGCCTCTTGGAGGCAGATAGGAAGTGTCTAATTACTATTTTGTGGCCTGGGTTTGGTTGCATATCACAAATTGTCTCTTGTAATGTGTGAAGCACACCTTCTCTTGGTGCTTTTTCATTCTTGCTGTTCTACTGAGAATGACACACACACACACACACACAAACACACACACATATTAATGTATAGCCAATTGATTGTGACGTGCTTGTGATCTTTGCTTGCTCAAAGGGTTTTTTTTCCAATGATAAATAAATGCTAAAGACGAATATCACCTCCTTGATCTTGTTTTCTCGATAAGAAGCACAATTGAGTGAAAGAAACACCCTTCCAACCGTAATCAGATTTGTGTTGCTTAGAGCCACCACTTCCATGCCTGCCGCAGGGACAACTTAAGCTGTCACAGTCTGAGTCCCTTTAGATGGCCGCTAACCTCAGACTAGCCTGACGTGAGAGATAAGCGTTTGCAAATGTGAAGATGGACAGTGAAGTCATGTGGACGGAGCAGGTAGTTTGCTTTTATTTTCTATGTATACGGCGTCTTGAGCAGCGAGTTCGTGCGGTGAGTGCCCTGCATGCAAGCTGCTGCTGCGCCTTGCTCGTGTCCACGTTGTGCTGGATGAGGGAGCAGAAACTGAGCCCCACCGAGAGCCAGAGGGAGGGGAGGTAATGTGGATGAGGTCGCTTAATTACACACCCTTTTCCAACTGCCTACAGCTTTTGCTTTGGCTCAAAACCAGCTGAAAGGCCCATGAGAGGGGTCAAGGGAGTGTAAATCCTCATGGAAAGGAGGTGGCAAATTCTTGGGGTGAGCACTTTCAGCATGCTGCAAAGGTAGCCACCGTTGAGCAGGCACTTGGCAGTGTCTGTGGAAGTGCAAAGCACTGATTTTATATTAATGAAAGTGTTGGCTGTCTGGAGAAAATGATGGTTGAGAAAAAAGCAGGGCTGAGGGCACAATTTTATTTTAAATGGTGAACCCTAATCTTAGCTTCATCTCTTTTTTTTCTTTTAATTAACCTGTAAGATCCTACCTGCAATTTTGATTTTTAATCACATTTTCTCCTTCAATGGATATTCCAATAACATCCCCACCAACTTGGGGAAAATTGTCTGCATTGGAGTTGTGTTTTGAAATCTCTCCTCCAACATACATCTTCTGATTTCCATGGAGCACCAACCCTTTTCTACCTTGCCGTTTCTGGGTGCTATTTCTCATCCCTGCTTGGTTTACAAATCACTTTCTGAATTTATTCCATCTGTGACTACATGCTAATAACAGTGCTGCTTTCTGATGACCTGCTGTATCACCCTGCCTTCCCTCTCCCTTCCCCACCAGCTTCATCCATTCATCAATCACACATAACTATGTGACCTTTAAAGTGTTTCAGCTGAGCTGTAGGTCTGGGGATTTATTATTCCACCTCTCCACAGCTGGTGTTGGAAAAAAATGTTCATTGTTAAGTGATTGGTTGTTGATGAGGCTTATCTGTGACAACCCATGTTGGCTAACAAAATGGCTCTCCCATGACAAAAAGGCACAGGGTCTTTTCCATGCTGAAGCATGGATGGATAATCCATCTGGTCCCACCCAGCTGCCCACACTCAGTATTGGAAAACATGCCTTTGCTTCCCAGTTGCTCTCTCAACTTGCTCAGCACTGCAAAGCCTAAACACCCAAAGGGGCAGGGTGCATTTCTAAGAGACAATAGAACCTACTGAGCTGATGACAGGCATGGGCACCTGGGCTCCCTGGTCTTTAACCATCCCTGTCTGATCCCGGCTGCTACTGACTCACTCCTTAATCTTTGCCAAGTCATTAGTGACTGGCACTGCTCACCTATTTCCAAGAACTGTTGTGAGAATGATGTTTGAGCAAAGCATTGGAGGTGGGTTACTAAAAATGAAATACTTTGTCTTATAAGGGCATTCAGTGTGGAGGCACTGGCTGGAGTAAAGGTAGTCCTAATTGTCAGCATCGGTGTCTGGTGAGGGGACAAGGAGGGGAGAGAAAATATTGGCATGTTGAATTTAAAGAGTCAAGTCTGCACTCTTAATAATGAAGCATCTGAGGGAGGCTTTGCAGAGATGTTGCTTTGAATGCACAGTGTGTGTGCAGCCCCATGAGGGGTGGCCAGGATGTTTCCAATCGTAATCAGTTGCTTTCAAATATATCATGTGCTGAGGGCTTCAGCAGACACCCCTGGAGACTTGTGCATGGGTAGATGCAGAGGTTCCTGCCTGATGCTCCCCATCCCTCCATCCCATTCCTTGTATTAGATGGAAGCTTAAGTGCCTTGAGCACAGGACTGAGATTTACCAATTTTGCCACTTCCAAATCTCTGATCTTCCTTTGAAAATTTCAGTTATCATTATTACAGCCCTGACTGGTAAAGCAAGGTCTAAGGATAAGTATGGATATTTTGTGAGCTGACATGTCAGCCCTTCCATGAATCTAGTCTCTTGCATTACAACATCCTTTGGATTTAGGGTTTTATTTAGAGTTGTGTCAGTGCCGGGGAGAAAGGGACTTTTTAAGAAGATGTCTCTGTCATAGCTGGTACCTTCCAACATCCAAGGAATAACCACCAACCCCCAACAGCATCAAATAAAGAAGAGGAGCTGTACCGGAAGAAGAAGCTCCCTAGTATGAATGTGATGACATGGCCATGTTCAACACTAAGAACAGCGTCTTTTGCACAGTTGGAAAATACTCTGATGTTCAGACATAGGCTTCAGCTCTCCCTGTTTCCAGCAGTATCATGGTAAGTTTGATCCAATTGGGGATTTGACAGCCTGTTCCATTTACCCTTATTCACATGAGCTTTCTGGGTTGGGAGCAATTCCACTAATGCTGCTGGGTCTATTCACAAGCTCAGAGGTCTGTGATGAGGGGTAACACATCTCTGAGTACTTCAGGACTAGTGTTTTATCATGAACTATGCATTGCTTGTAAACAGGCTTAATTTCTGTTGCAGGGTGCCTTGGAAACAGCTCCCTAATCATGACTGTCATGTGGAAGAGTTGTGAGCCCAAGGACAAAAGAAAATCCTGCTAATGGATTGAAGGCATCTTTATGCTTTCTAAAACGCCAGCTTTCCTTGCAGGGAGTCTGCTCCACGGAAAACAACAGCAAGGACCAGCCGCCAGAAAAATAATGGATGAAGAGTAGTGACAGATCTTGCAATATGTGAGAGCTCTGAGGAATAATAACTGTTCCTTCAATGCCAGCAGTGCAGTGATGTGAGAGATGGAAAGGGAGAAACATTTTTGAAACCCCCTCATTGTCATCTCCCCACTTCCCACCCCACCCTAGCCTGGGATATGCAGCAACCTCAGGCCCCTGAGCAAAGCTGGGTCTTCCCTTCTCTCCTTGGAGAGCCAGAGACCTGCATACCCTGCCTGGCTCTGAGAGAGCTCTGGGGAAGGCTGGGTCACAGCAGAGGGTGAGGAGCACCCTGTGTGGCATGTGGTGGAGGAGATCTCACCACACAATGGCTGTGGCAGATGGGTCTGTCCTCATCAGTTAAACAGCACCCAGGAGCACTTGATGGAGCCAGTACCTGAGGGTCAAGATAGGGAAACGTTGAGAGTAGTCCCTGGTCATTGGACTGACCTGCCCCTTAGCCTGGTTCAGGATTTAGTACCCAACTGAGGATCAGTTCAGCTGCAGGCACCTTGTTGGGAGCCCAGAGATTTTTGAGCAGGGACACGAGCCATCAAGGCACCTTTAATTTAATGAAAGAGATAGTGCTTTGGAGTCACAGGGCAGCGGACATCCTTGCCCCCGTTACCCCTGCCCCCTCCTCTCTCCCCAAGTCTCACTGCTGATCAGACTTTTCTGTCCCTGTTGGCTCCTTCCCATGCAGTCTTCAGTGCCCTCACTACCCCATCAGACCCCATCTGCCCACCATGCTGCTATTCCTTCTTACCTTCAAAATCATTTTCCGTCACCTTCCCCACCAGCTTTTCCATGTGTATCACAGCTGCTTCTTCAACACTTTGCTTTCCCCCACTTCTCCCCCTTCAACACTTTTCCACTCCACATCATCCTAAACACCCAGCTCTACCAAGGACCTTCTCCTTCCTATCCTCCCCAAGTTACTGTCTCATGTCCTGTCTCTCTTGGACTGTAAGCCTTTTTCTTTGCCTGTACTGTGAGATAACACTCACTGTGTAGAATAAACAATACCTCACCCAACTGCCCTTTCTCTCTCTTGTTTCTTGGTGTGGCTTCAGTAGATGTGTCTGTAAGTGCACCGTGTGTTTGTCCTCGTGGCCAGTTCAGCAGTGAGTCATGCTGCCACAGCTCTATCCATAGTCTTTTGGGATGACTGCTCATGTTTTTGTTCCCTGCTACCTTTCTTTCTTTTTTACAGCCACGGAGACAAGCTTTATTGTCTGTGTAGGAGCCCAGCATATTCAGAGCTGCATGACCTTCTGTCTTTTGCAATTCTGGTGCACCTGATAAAGGGGTTGGCCTTTCTCCAGCTTCATGCAGAGATGTCCTGGGCTGGCAGGTGGCTCAACAAATGCAGCAACTGAAGAGAATGAAGGAGAAATCTTGTGGCCCAGAGAAGCAGCCAATGGTAAAGGAACTGCATTTCCTGGCGCAATACAGAAAACAATGGGCAGAAGTGTGTCAGTGGAAATCCAAGCAGATGCACCTCTCAGGGGAAGAAGCAGAAGCTGGCTTAGCAGCAGGACATGTTTCAGAGATGGATGCCCAGGAGACTTCTCGTGGTTCAGAAGGTGCCCTGAACATCTGCTTCCTCTATCCCAGGCTAGGACTAGATGTGCCCATGGTCCCTTCAACCCGTGAGTACAGCAGGGACCCAATTGTGACTAAGTCCCAGGTGTCCCCTTGCTGCCTCCTTGTCCTAATTTATTTCCTGAAAGTGCTAGTTTGGTCTGTGCTGGCTGGCAATATGAGTGCACATGGAGATGGTGCTTTTTCCCAGGTGCTTCATACACACATGGAAAGTTGCAGGAGCAGCTCAGTTCCTCTATCCTTCCCGTGACCCTCACTACCAGTGGTGTGACACCACCCTGCCAGAAAACAAAGGAGACTCCTCATGCTGAGTGAACAGCTGAGCTCACAACATGGCCATCAGTCTGGTTTCATGGGCCATCTGCAGAAGTTAGGTCTGAAGACCTAAATCAAGGCCAAACTGAAGCTGTTTGGTGGACATGGATGGGAGAAGGATCAAGCAGTGCTCAGTTCCTTGGGCTTCCTTCAGTGCCTGTTGCTGTCCTTGAGTGTGCAAGAGCAGGCAGAAGAGATTAAATGTGTGGGGAACTCCAGTCCTCAGTGAGGAGCCTGGAGAATTCATTTGGACAAGCAAGACCTGCAGCTGGGTTGTGCTTGACATCTCCAGGCTCTAGGGATTTCAGTGTAGGCACTGGAAAGAGGCAGTGGGAAAGAAGATCCCTTGGTTTAGGTAATCCCCTGCATCCTTTCCTATATGCCACCATGATCTGCTCCCATGTGCCGTGCTTTCACAGTGCTGCTGCCTCCTCCTCCTCCAAACTCTAGACTCCCAAGAGCCAAAAATCTCTAAAACAACCTAAAACAGCAGCCAATAATCTCAGCTACACAGTTTTAGGGACTGAATAGTATTTAGGACAAGATTCCTGCATGCCACTGAGGTCCCTAGCTGACCTTGGAGGTACACTGAAGTCTTCTAACATCTAAATTTCTACTAGCAGAGCTCTGTCAGAGCTTCTATGTCTTCTGCTTTACAGGTGGACATTTGTTTAAGTGCTGAGCTCCTTGTTGCTCATCTCACACCTACATCAGGTCAGATTTCACAACCAGATGCTTTCTTCTCTTTCTGCCATGCTGGCCCCAAATTGGTGCACATTTTTAGGGCCCACCCAACCAATGAAAGTGATAACAACCCCTCTGCTTGCTTAGATACAGATCCAGGCTGAGAGTGTTAGCTCCACTACTTGATGCTGCTGCCTTTTCCAAGGAACGTAACTGGGACCAGTTATTAAGTACGTTAAGGCCATTTTTCAGGACAAGGACTTGTATTTTTGTCACTGTTATCACAGACAGCAAACTTCAGTGCACAATGGGCAGTAAAGCATTCAGAAGAGAGAAGTGACTCGCCATATCCTACAATCTAATTGTTAATTGCATTTGCCCAGGAATCGATGAGTTTGTATCTTCTGAGGAACATGAATCTGCCAATGTCCTCCTGGAAGAGGGATCTAACCAAAAGGTCAGTTCCTCCACAGAGGAGAGCCATCTCCTCACCTGAATTCTTTGGGAAAGAAAGGACAGATTTCTCATAGTTCCTTTTTAAAAATGACCCTTCGGCACCAAACTTCACAGCTATATGTGCCTGGGACTATTCTGCCATTTCTGAGCCACCACTAGAGGATTCCTGCCTGCTTCTAGTTACTCTTGAAGACAACTTTTAGTTTTCCATGTGCCTGAAGTCAGGTCTGTCTATATGGACTGATAACAGCTCCCAAATAATTAAACTGTTTTGAATTAAGATCATTTTGCAGAAGAGGATAAATATCATCAGCTCTTTCTGAGATGAGGTCACCAAACATCAAGACCTGAATCCATAGAGGAACAGGGATGAGCTGTGAGCAGGTCCTCTACCTCTGTGAAGAACAGGACAATGTTGCTGGATCCCATCACCATCAGAAACAAGTTTAGACCCCAAGTCACAAGATCACAGCTCCCTGTTGTTACACCAGGACCAGCAAAGAGGAGATTGTACTACGTGTGCTCATGGTGGTCATCCATTGACTATTTCCAAACACCATCTGCTGCCTCTGAGAAACAAAACCCTTCTGACTTTCATACTCTTTCTGCATCTCTCTCTCAGACGTCACTTGAGTAATGATCTGTTACCTCCAAATCATCCCTTCTGCATTTTTACCATGTCACATCACATAATTAACCCAACAGTTTGCTGCTGGCAGCACTATTGAGGGCAAAGTTCTCCAAAGTCCTACCTTGCTTGGCTAAGACAAAGATTGTTTGTAAATGTTACTGCTTGTGTGTTAGGACTTGTTAAGTCTGAGGGCCAGGCTTTCCTTTAAACCCTCAGATTTGCACCCTCCTGGATCCCTCTTCCCATGGCTGGTACTGAGGGCCAGACCTTGCTGTGCAGCCCTGCAGAAGAGCAGCCAGGGCTGTTCTCCTCCAGTGAGAGGCTGTACGATGTCGTGTTGTCCCTGGCTACCAATTCCTGGGGGAAGGAATGAAATTACCTCCCCCTCACACTCCTTCCAGTTTAAAACAGGTTTGGAATGAGCTTTACTGGGAAGGACAGTCACACAATTATCTGTATTCGATGCAAACAAAGAGGAGGCCAGGGGTTGGGGATGGGACACAGCCTCTTTCTCCTCCAGGAGGCTGGGTCTTATCCAGTCTTCATGGCTGAAGGTTGCACACACTTGTGAGAAAAGAGCCAATGTATTAAAATTAAGAAGTATCCACTATGCAAACATGCACCGCATGCACCAACTTTCTTGGCTGCCTCAACAGAGAGGTACCACATCAAGGCTGCTGAGAAGGAAGAATTCCCCTGGTGACTAACAGGGACTAAGGGAAATGCTGATGGAGGGTGATTTCAAACAGTTTATGTTGCTCCGGGTAGAGCTGATTTTTTGGCTTTCAAGGTCTATTCTGAAATGCAGGGCAGCAGCAAGAGCAAGGTTGGACACCAAGGAAGAGGGGGGATTAGTCTGGTCTTGACCCACCTACAACCTGGATCATCACATGCGCACTGGCACAGGAAGACCTGAGCTCAGGCCCCACAGTTACTGCATCCTCCCTTACTAGATCAAATGTGAAGATGTGCTTAGATGTGCTGGCATCTGGAGTAGCTGCTGGCAGCCATCAACCTGCGCAGCTTGAACTTGCAAGTGCCCTTGGGCACGATCTCCACTGGCAAGGATGTGCAGGCATCTTCAGCCTTCTCCAGAGATCAGTCAACAGATCCTGTCCTAGGATACCTGTGCATCAGCGTATGGACCTGGTCTGTCCTGACAGCGAGGCATCTTTCCAAAGAGGAGCTGCCCCACATTTTCACCTAATCCCTTGATTTACGGTGCTGGGCTCACCTCATTCCCAGAGGAACTGTTAGGTTGGAAGGACTCAGCAGTCTTCCTACACCGGGGACATCAGGGAAAGGCCTTACCAACCTCTGCCAACAGCTTCTGGCAGCAAATATCTCTTCACTGTAAGCACAAAGGGCAGGACGAGGGTGAGTATTGGAGTGAGAACTGTCCTGCCAGGACTCTCCATGTGGTCCTGCCCCATGAGCCTCTCATGCAGGGGTGGTTAGACTCATGTGTCTGGGTTGGGCTGGTTTCATGGGCCAAGGAGATGGTAATTAGCACTTGTTCTCCTGGCCCTGGGGTAAGCCTCTCATTCCCTCCTTTAACCTGCAGGCTGAAACCAGTCCCTACACAAAGCCAACATCAGGCTAGGGGATGAATGGGGATCTCCACAGTCCCTTAGTGCAAGCGCCGTACAAAGCCACCCATTCTAAAGCTGAGCAGGTTTCTCCTGCCTCTCCATTTGCTTTCTGCAGCCTCACAGATCCTTCCCCCATCCATCACACATCCCTCCTCATCCCTGCAGATCCTCCTCTCTTTCCTAATGAAAATTGATTCCTTTGTTCCCTACAGGTTTTTCCTTCCCCATCTCTCCCTTTGCACTTCAGCAAGACCTGACCTTCCCTCCAGCACTTGTTCAGAGCTTCTCCTGGCACCATCTACCCTAACTCCCAGGCTTTGTTCTCTTATGCTCCCACCCAAGACTACCCCAGGTACAGAGCTGGCTCCAGAGCTGATCCTAAGAGGCATCCAACACCTCGGTGCCACCATCACCTCCTGGTGTCTCCTGGGGATGTTGAAGAAGAGGGGTGCTCTCAAATGGGGGTTAGCATGCGTTAGCTGGCCTTGCTTTCCTCTTGGTTGTTTTAACAGGCAGCGGGTGCTTCCTGAGCAGCACAAGAGCTCAGCTCCCCTGCGTTATAGGGCTTTCACCACCCGCCTTGAGGGAAACTGCTTCTTTGTGAGACAATTTTACAGCGAGGTGCTCGTTCAATGCAGGTTATAATCAATTGGCAAGCATTTTTCATAGCTGCTGGGTGGGCCCGATCCTGGTCACAGCTGAACCAAAGGCTGGTCAAAAAGTCAAGAGCTCCAGCTCTCCCAATTTTGTGGACATCCATGGCTTTTGGGCCAGGACCAGGCTCACCAACCAGCCTGAGGACATACCAAACATGTGTGGGCTGCTTGGGGAGTGCTCTACAGAGCCACTTATCACAGGGCAAAATTCTTTTGTATCAGCCAATTGCTCTGATGGCTTTGCAATGATGCTCTTTCTCTGCTTCCAGGACCCCTGAAAAAAACATTGGTGCTACAGACCAAGAACCAAGTACCTTAGTGCAGGATCAGCGCACATGAAGTCAAGCACTTTCTTCTGAGTGGCGGTTGGAGAAAACGTATAGTCTGCATGAAATCTCTAACGTCTGGCTGGTATACAATAAAGCTGATGATCAGAGCTGAACGACAATTCTCTTGTCTCTCAAGCACTGAGAAGTTACTGTCACTAGGATCTGTGTAATGCAGTTAGCATGTCTGTGCCTTGATTTATATTCAGTAAAGTCAGAGAAAGAAAATGGGTCCAATTCTCCCTTTATTCGTAGCTGTGGAACATCACTGGTTTCAATGGTCTCTCTAGTTTATGAGGGCAACAGAGAGATCAGATTCACTTCCATAACTCATGGAGGTTTCATATTGGATTTTAGAGATTATACCATAAGCCAAGTTGATAACATCATCAGCTCTTTTCAAAAATACTTTGAAGATTTAATGCACTATAAGTTCTTAACCACTGTCAGGAGCTCACATTTGGATGTCACCAGGTGAAGCGCACCTTGTGCAACATCTGGCAGATCCCATTGTCATTGCATTGTAGCCAAGAATATCTCAGACCTTCTTCTGAGACTGTTACCATTTAATTTGTTCAATTTGCCATTGAGGGCAAAGGCTGGACAAGACACCGAAAACTTGTTGGCAAATAGTGTTTTTTCTCAGCATTTTTTCCAGAAATGTTTCATTGAAAAAATTGTAAAGTACAAACTGGAAATGTTGTATAAGGAATGCATCTGGTTCATGGGATTATCAGGTCTGGCTGTTCTGTATGCCCATCTCTTCTGGGTGAGGTTCCCTATGTCCATAAAACATATGCAGGACATGATGGGAGATGTAATCCAGCCCTACAGCCTGTTCGCTGTAGATGATAATTACATGAAGTACCCAGACTGCAGTTCCAGCAAGGCACTGGCCCAGTACACTCCAATAAACACTTTCAGATTTAGGCTGAAGTGTTGTAACACTTAGAGCTGGGATTTACTTTACTTTCCTCAAGCGCTAACTTTAGACAGAAGGCTACTTTGCCTTCCCAAATTAATTAGGCAAGGCACTTCATCAGGGGTGGGCAAATCTGGGCAGCTTCTATGGAGCACAGCTGCTCCAAAGCCCTCCAAAACCAGAGGGTCTGGTTTGCTGCGTCTAGTTCAGAAGGTAAGCACTTTGAGCTTAGAGAGGTCATTCCAGTATTTCAAAGTGAAAATGCAAGTCCATGATACACTTCTTCCTCCTCCTATATAAATACTCCTCCTATAAAGACCCCTGTTCTGCTCAGGAGTAAGTCAAGAGTGACTCCAGCCATGGCTGGACCAACTTTAAAATGAGTGAATTTTTTCAGCAGATCCAATTTACTTCACACGCAGAGACCCTTGGTGACTACTATCTGCTACTCGTACCACTAAAGCACCCTGTGATGGCCAAAATCCCAAGGGTGCCAAGAGCTGAGCAGACATGGGACAAAAACACAGCGACCCACCCAAAGGACCTTGAAGGCAAAGCAGGAACCTAAAATTTCCTTAAGCTCCTAATGTTCAAGCTCTGGTGAATTGCCTTTGGCAACAGGAAGGTTGGAAAGAACCTCCTTGTTAAGAGGATAAGATAGGGAGGAATATTTGTACTGGCAGCGTTTGTACAAGCCAAGAAGAAATTAGAGTAAATCCAATCACTGAACCATTGCAAAGCACCTCCGAGAAGATGTGAATAGTAACTAATGAAATATTCAATACAAAGGGAAGTAGATTACACGCCTGTGAACAATCGCGCCAAGCGTGCGCCTCAGTAGCTGAAGGGTCCTTGTTATACATGATTAAGCAATTAATTTTTTTTGTGTCTAATTACCATGATTGCACAATTATTAGAGAGGAGCCCAGTCCAAAGCTCCAGTGCCAGACATTGGTGGCCTGCAGGAGGTTTTGCTCCAGATCCCTGGAACTGCTGGTGTCCCAGGGAAGCTGGACCTGGCAGGCATTTGGCTGCTGCTCTCTGGTGTCTCAGGCATCATCACTCATCTCTGAATCAGATACACCTGAGGAAATAAGGCACCATAGACCAAGACAGCCAAGTATCTTATCTATATGCATTTATTTGTAGTAACGCATATATCTATGGTGGAAAACATGAGAAAAAAAGGCTCATTCTCCCATCGATATCTGATCTTCATGCAGCTGGCTCAGTGGGGCAGGAAAGCCAACCCTAGCATTCACCAAAATACAGACTTTTTTTCTGGCTCTTCAGCTCCCTGAAGCAGCTTAGCAAAAGGGGACAGCAGGAACAAGTGGCCACCAAGTTTCATTTCACCAGTGGAAACTGTGGGGAAATGTGTCTGAAGTAGGAAGGTGAAATTTCACAGAGGAAGGCTTTGAAATGGCAGAGTTGATTTAAACTCTGACCCAAAACAATGTAGAAGATGCCCACTTCAGAAAAGATTTATGTATCTCATAAATAACTACATATTTTTTCACCAGACTGGGTATGATATTTCAGAACAACCAAAAAAAAAAAAAAATCGGGATTTATTTAATTGGTGGCCTGGACTTGTGCAGAACATTTGATGCTGTCCTGCATGACATCCTTGTCTCTAAATTGGAGAGAAATAGATTTTACATATGGACCACTTGGTGGATAAGGAATTGGCTGGATGGTCAAAGAGTTGCGGTCAATGGCTCAATGCCCAAGTGGAGAGCAGTGATGAGTAGTGTTCCTCAGGGGTTGGTGTTGGGACTGGTGCTGTTTAACATCTTTGTCAGCATGGGCAGTGGGACTGAGTGCACCCTCAGCAAGTTCCCCAATGACACCGAGCTGTGGGGTGCGGTGACACTGGAGGGCAGGGATGCCATCCCGAGGGACCCGGGCAGGCTGGAGAGGTGGGACCACATGAACCTCATGAAGTTCAATAAGGCCAAGGGCAAGGTCCTGCCCGTGGGTCGGGGCAATCCCCAGCACAAATCCAGGCTGGGCGAGGAGGGGATGCAGAGCAGCCCCAAGGAGAGGGACTTGGGGGGGTTGGTGGGGGGAAAACTGCCTGTGGGCCAGCACCGTGCGCTCGCAGCCCAGAACCCACCCGTGCCCTGGGCTGCAGCCAGAGCAGGGGGGGCAGCAGGGCCAGGGAGGGGATTCTCCCCCTCTGCTCCGCTCTGGGGAGACCCCCCTGCAGTGCTGGGGCCAGCTCGGGGGCCCCCAACAGCAGAAGGACACGGAGCTGCTCGAGCGGGGCCAGAGGAGGCCACGGAGATGCTGGGGGGGCTGGAGCAGCTCCCCTGGGGGGCCGGGCTGAGAGAGTTGGGGGGGTTCAGCCTGGAGAAGAGAAGGCTCTGGGGAGACCTTACTGTGGTCTTTTAATATGAAAAAATGAACTTAAAAGAGAGATAAAGAAAGAGTTTTTATGAAGGCCTGTAGTGACAGGACAAGGGACAATGGTTTTAAACTGAAAGAGGGAAGATTTAGGTTGGGCATAAGGAAGAAATTCCTTACGATAAGGATGGTGAGGCACTAACACAGGGTGCCCAGAGAAGCTGTGGCTGCCCCCTCCCTGGAAGAGTTCAAGGGCAGGTTGGACGGGGCTGGGAGCACCCTGGGCTGGGGGAAGGTGTCCCTGCCCAGGGCAGCGGGGTGGGACTGGATGGGCTTTAAGGTTGCTTCCAAACCAAACCATTATGTGATTCTGTGATTTAATGTAGAAATGCAATGTTCTGATTTGACTCAGCATGTCCCCCTTCTCACCCCAAAATTTTCATATCACCCTAAGCTGGAATATTTACTGTTTATTAAGAAAATAACAATTTCTGTATCCTGGTAGATTCTGTTCTGCATTGCTAATATTTCCCTCCTGTTCCTCCTGGTGTCAACTGCTATCCTCAGACACTTGTTTCCTTTCATTTCACTTTCCATTTAGCTTGTCTTCCTCTACATGATATGTCCCACTCAGGTTCCTCCTACTCTCAAAAATAATTGAGTTACCAACTGTCATATTGCCCACCCAGCACACTGTATATAATTTCCTACCGTGCTTGTCTGTTTAGATTGCAAAGTGTTTGTGGTTGGGAGGTTCTCTCATTTTCACTGCTCTGCCTGTCTTCTGCTTATCCTGAGGTATTACTGTAATAGACATGGTTAATAGGAATTAGCCTTCCACTAGCAAGACTAATTCAATGCAGCTGAATTTTGCACGGCTGCTTTTATCTGTAGTGTACGTGGTACATCCTTACAACCTTGGCTGTGCTTTGTATCAGCAGCAGTGCAAATCTATAAGGCTGAGAAGGGAATCCCCCCAAGCAAGCAAAGCCAAGGGTAAAGTAGGAGCAACACAGGAGACCAGAAATTATAGCAGGAAAAGAAAAGGAATATTTGCAGATCAGAAATTAAATGCAGTGGAGGGAGATAGAGGCAGGAGGCAAAGCTTTCTGTTCCCCATCTTCCAGGAGCTGGGTAATAAAACTGGTCCGGGAAGGATGTGTCCCATAGAGAAAAGGAGCAGCAGTACTAGAGAAGAAGAAAGTGTTCAGGAGGGTGTTTCAGACTTAATTTCGCCCTTTGTAAGTGCCAGGCTTCACAGATTTGAGGACTTTTACTTATTTTCAGAGAAAAACATGTCCAGAGCTGAGGAGACATGTAAAGTTCATAGGAGATGCTTTTCCCATCAGCAGCACTGTCAGCATTAACATGGATTAATTCTGCAAAACTCCTTATCTAATGGGTTAATTCCATTTAATAAGTCAGTGAGTGAAGGAGCTCAGTGGCTGGGGAGAGCTCCCAGACAGATGCATCATGCACCAAGGCAGAACCAGGGGGGGATTCAACTAGTATTTGAGGTCAACAGCATCCGTGGTGTAAAGTGGCCAAAACTGCTGGAATTGAATCTGTTGAATTTGCCCTTCTGATTTATGAGCCACTTCCTCAGAAGGATGTAAATACCCTCAACTGGATTGACTCCTTGCTGATTTACACCAGTCAAGGTCTGTCCAAATGGCACAGAAAATCCAACAGCTCTTTTTAAGGCTGTGAATAACTTGTTGGTTTGGTTGGGTTTTTTCCACTGCAATGATTCCTAGATGACTTATGCTCCCTTGTATCTTTAAGGCTCTTAAAAATCTTGACCTGAATTATTTAACCTCTATTCCCTCCCCTTTTCCTCCATCG